ATATAGGCCTATCTCAGAAAAGGGAACTTAATATTTTAATGTAATCTGCATCGTATCAATGTCTGAAATACCGTTGCTTATACCATGCTTATGCCTACATGTAGTCGGACACAGGCCTGTATGCAGTGTAGATTGCAATGGCTTACCTGAATCGAGTCCACACAACAGGCTCATGTCTTGTCGTATTTATTGCCAGATAGAAGCCAGAACAAGCCTATGTTCATTCACAGAACACCCTTGTTGAAAATAGAAAAGGGGTAAGAAATGTTACATACACACTTCCTATTAATTCTGAATGGCAAGCAAAACGGTAACCATAAATGTATGGTGTGAACCTCTCGTTTCTCACGTAAGCACTTTCCAAATATGGTTGTGGGATTCCCATAACATAACATATGGAAACCGTAGTTCCAAATAGGGAATATTATATGAATATTCATTAGGGAAAGCCCGTTTAGAAGTGTGCTATTGTTATCTAGGTCTGGTTAAACTGATAGATTCACTACAGTAATAAGCCTATATCTTAAATATTTAAAATTATATTTAAAAAAAAATAATGCCATGACATCGTTATTTAAAGCAATTATATCATATAAAATGTATAACTTTTGTGATTTAAGACACAGTTTTCTATAAAATCGCTACAAATACAAAAGAATAATGCAGTTGGGGGGACGGGCAATTGATAGCACGACGTGTGTTGCAATGGCAACGTAATTGTATGGTCGTTGGTGGCGTACCATTTAATATGGGATCAGTTGTTGTTGTGTACGGGCCTGTTTCTTTTGGAAAAGCAAATTGATATGTCTTTGAAATGTTGAAAGAGTGAATATGATGCATATTAAGTATACAAGCCGAGAGGGATTTTACACATGGAATGAGTTGTGGTATATTGTAAACATTTACATTCCTTCCTAGATGGAGCAGGGAGATAGAGTAGACATAGGCTAGCTAGGGCCTAGGCTAGTAGAGGCGAATCCTAGGCTAGCCTAGAGGCCTCTAGTCTAGGATAGCGCCCTGCTGCTATGCTAGAGGAGGAGGAGGAGGCTGGGCTAGGCAGGCCCTAGTCTAGGAGCCTAGGCCTAGGCTAGCCAACTTTAGCTGGCTATATTAGTATATATAACCAAGCTCGGTGAGGTCGAGTTACACAAAACCACACAACACCACACAGATGCAAAAATGATTAAAATATTACCACAAAAGAGTAGAAAACTGCTTAATAATTATCAATAAACCTAGGCTTAGCCTTAGGCTAGCCTAGGTTAGCTAGAAGCACACAAAAATTATATCCTTCAATTGACTTCAAATATAGTTTCACAATGATTCAATTGAAAGAACACATTGATGTGAGTAATCTACAGTTTAGATGACAAAAATTGAATATTTAAGAGTTATACTAAAAAAAATTTAATAAAATAAAATTTTTTCCCAATTTACACACGTTGGCCTATCTTGAATTGGTGACCATGCATGCACCACGCGTATAGCCTAGCTAAGCCTAGAAGAGAAGTCTCTTCTATCTGCATGTGTTCTGGTAGGCTCACGATGGTACATATACATGACTCAATTCGCAGCCTGGAGTGGCTCAAACTCTACCTAGTCTAGGGTATTTAAACACTCGGGGCACAGAGTCTTATCAAATTACATCAAAAATAACATTACATAAAGTTATGCACTTATCAATTGTAGTCCCAGCCCCCCGGACCTTGGCCTAGCATAATTTCTAAAACGGTTGTATGCATGTGAAACTCCGGTCACCTCCTGGAAATGCAGGGCATTGTTTTAATGTACGTCCCCGACTGAGTCCCCGCCGCTTACCGCCGTACACACCCAAAACCAAGGCTACTCTAATGTGTAAAATTCCCAGGCCTTCAGAGGCCTGTTACATCTACGGGTAAATTTTAGGTACGTCCCGGCACTACGGGGACATAACTATGTGTATATCCCCGGCTCAATCCCAGCTAGTGCCCCGCTATGGCCTGGGTCCAGGGGGGGAGGAGCTGTGACTACAATTCACAACTTGTGCATTAGTATACAGTATATATATTAATCTTTGATATTTTCATAATTTTTATATTAGAATGAGTTATTTTCTATTTTTTTTGTATTTTATTAAAATTGGAAACGTACTATATCACAAGTTTTTTGAAAGTGGGAATTCGTGTGGGATTTCCGAATCGGAAATTATCGGAGAACATTGTCCGGGTGTTTTTTTTTGTAATACCAAATCGTAGTCCAGAAAAGGCCCCCTGTGACCCAAATTTTTTTCCGATATGGTAACACTTTCCTATTCGTGATTTTGACAAGCGCCCTCACACAGATGTGCTCCTAGCTAACTAGGTACAATAATTGTCCATTTAATTGATGTAGGGCCTATTGTTTAATGGTTTAGTCCCCCGTGCTTAGAAAGTAAAGTGTTGACATTGTGTATCTAACGCATTGATGTGTCAGCAGAAACGCATTCAACCATGACATTCATGGTCTATGTTTCATATCATCAACATTTAAATTCTAAAAATAATAAAGATACTGCCCAATGAAAGGTAATGAACCAAAGAATTCTTTAAAAAAAAAAAAGGAAAAATAAATTATGAATATTTAAATTGTAGGCCTATATATATAGTTATGTATTAGTGTTAGATTTTCTGTAAATTTTCATATAAAATAATGTTAGGAAAATTCAGAATTTCATTTATATTGCTTGTACATTTTTACAGATGTATTTCAATGTACAACAATGGAATAAAGAAGATTGCATTAATAATAATTTGAAATAGATTGAAATTTAATATACTGTAGATTCAAGAAGACTAATGCTTGCTTGATTACTTGTTTAATGGTAGTGGGTCGATGCTATCTTATAAGATGCATCAAATGTCATGGCAGACTATCTTCTAAATTGACAGTTGAGGTATCCAGCAAATGAACATGTCGTATGAATTTGACATATCATGAATGTTTTAGAATAAGCCTCTCGATGGAACGTAACATAGTGAATGTAGTCTATAAAAGCCTATGGTTGAATGCGTTTCTGCAGATGTCAAGACATTAGAGATACTCAATGTTGAAGCACGACGGCGAAACTGACATAACAAAATTCATCGATTTTAAGCATATTTCAGACAACTATTGTTATAAAAGTTTGTTTAATCAATCAGTGTTTAATAGGACCGTTTAGAAATGGTGTCTTGTATGACTTAAGGCTTGTATGCTTATGAATTTATTACCAATTTATTTGGCTTACTTTAGTCAAATCCCAGGTTTAATTAGATGAACCCAGCTTTTAAAATATTTCATATCATGACAGTAATGATGTCTATTTTCTTGCTTTCAATTTATTTCAGTTGCCTATCAAGGGCCCTTGGGGTGAGTATCAACAATATGCAAATGAAGCCTAAAGTAGGATGATTGATATTGTTTAGTTACAAAACAGTTTAATTCAAATGATATTTAGCAGTTTTAAATTTGATAATAAGATACAGACTTAGTAATAATATGTGAGTTTAGTAGATAATTATAGACAATGATGAGGAGTAGGAGGTTGATGATGAAGAAGATGATGATGAAAATGAGGATAGTGAGGATGATGATAAGGATAATGAGGAAGATGAGGGTGATGATAATAATGAAGAGGAGGTTGATGATCAGGAAGATGATGATTATGATGATGATGAAAATGAGGAGAATGAGAAATATTGAGGATCGTGGTAATAATGAGCAGGAGGAAGTTAATTTTGAGGAAGAAGATGATGGAAATGAGGATAATGAGAAAGATGATGATGATGAGGAGGAAGTTTTATGGTGGTAAGATGATGAATATGGTGATGATGCATATGATTCATTAATATGTATATTGTTGTAGATGACTGTGTGTAGCAGAATATAAGCCTGTGTTCATTTGCCAACTAAAAGATTTTGATTAATTGTGAATTTTTTTAATTTGTTAAATTCTTTTAGTTTCAAGCAAATACCCTTAACAGCTGCATTCCTGATGAGGCTCTGCAGAATGATGAAGGAATAGTACACAAGGTCAGTGACATTAAATTTGACTCCCACAGCTCATGCATGTGAAATTTACAACATTTTTCAACATCAAAAGCTGGCAATATATAAAATTAACGTTTTTGTGGCGTGACAGAATAACACTTGTGATGATGGCATAATTAATGTCGAAATATTGAATCCCGACACGATGGCATGCATTTCGATACTTGGAGTATGTATTATACTACCTTATCTGAAATTAATCAGTGGACCTTTCGGTTTTACAGAATAACAGATTCAGAATTTCGTAAATTTGTAAATTTGTAGATAGTATATTTTTCATTAATAAACTTTTGTGATATTTCATTCTTTCCTCATTAAATAGGAGATCTTGAAGCTTATTAACTTGAAGTACTTCAATGATGCATTGGACAGGACATTCAACATGCACACTGCTGATTATAACATCAATGTCTTGAAGAAAAGCCTCAAAATATTGAATCATCGTTTGCTCAGGTAAATGTTTTGGCCATCCCTGGATCCGCCTCTGGACTAGGTATATTAATAATTGGTCAGTAATAAACATTAAAGTACAGTACTAATACCCAAATTATTTATATAGCGCCAATTCCAATGAATGATAAAAGGCGCTGAGCGTTATTACCCCTAGTCACTGGATAACATACAATGGCAAACCATCACAAAGTGTAACCTTCTCTGCTCCCTGGGGAGTATCCCTAGTCATGTGCTACTTAGTACATTCAGTACCACAACATCCTACCAGGTACCCATTTATACTCCTTGGTAGAGGGAGACAAACATAGATAAAGTTCCTTGTCCAAGGACACTAAAGTGACTTGCACAGCAACAGTTTCGAACCCCTGACCTCGAGGTTGGGAGTCCAAGCCACAGCCGATGTGCCAACTGCTCCTAGTAAGGCCTGGTTTCCATAAAATTGCTACATGCTACCACAGACAGCTGTCAGCTACGCCTATTGGTAGGTCAAATTGGGAGCCCGTTTGATCGTGTTGAGGGTGGCTACACAGTGTAGCAATTGCAGTAAAAACACTGTAGTGCAATTGTGGTGATTTTATGGACACCCAGACCTAACCTGATTCCCCCTAGTGTTTTATCATGTAATTGCAAACTTTAGGTTTACTATTGGAATTTTTATGCATATAGCTCTTTATTAATTTGATCATTCTATCATTCATAACAATCAAACAGTTTAAATTAAACTGAAATTTAGTTGGTGAACCTTTAAATTAGAAAATGTTGAATTACGAATGATTAAGCTCTGATGTGACCTGGTGAAAACTTTTATTGTAATTTTGTCATACAGTGTAGTTTGTTATGTCTTTGTGTTATCAGTTGTATTGGTGAGAGTGTACATGTTCCTGTTGTTGATCAGATACATGTGATATTCTCCATATGTATTATTTTTCTTTGCTTCAGCTTTTCAGAGTTGAATGATGTGCGGATTGCTTTCCAGGTTTATGAGGCAGCGGACATGAAGGGAATGGTAATGGATCAGCACACCCTCATGCGCACACTAAAGGTACCAATTTTATTCCCTTGCTTGAAGTTCCTATTGTACACACCTACACATATGTACACCCTCAATTATATGTGTTGTCTTTGTTCATTTATAGATTGGCATAAAGAGTAACATCACAAAATTAACCACTGTGTTACAGAATGGAATGATTTGAACAAATATCGCTTGATTTTTCACTCTCATAATGAAGGAGAATACGTATTAAATGACCTAAAGAGTGAAATGGAATGATGTTTTATAATCTAAGTCTATGACTAGGTGGTTGGAGTTTCTTTAATCGTGAATCAAATCAAGTTGTATTTTCATATGGTTTAATCCCAGGTTCTTGGGTTTTCAATCATTTTACAGTAGTGTGGCTAAGGAGAAGTCAGATGCACAACCCCCCCCCCCCCATGCCTACATCTCTGTAAAGTTAAAAGGTTGTTGTCCCGGGCCAGACAAAAGTGGTCTTTATTTGGAGGTGGTCTTTGATTGGAAGAAGTGTGTTACATATCATGTCTAGTCTAACCAATGCAAGTAACATAAATACAAATTTCATTCTGTTTATGTAAAATATGAAAACAAATATATTTATTTGTATTTCTCTAGTTGTGTAACAGAATAGTTGCTCCGCTGAAGCTAATGCATCGAATAAAACATCTGCAAGAATTCTTTGATGAACCAGATAGGATTCAATTTTATGAGTTCCTTGATTTACTGGTTTTGTAAGTATCTCAAGAGATGTCTTTTGAGGCTCATATATATTTTGTGATCTCCAACTGCAAAATGAGTTGGTGCGCTGTATGTCAACATAAATCAAGGGTTAATCATATCAAAACATTTCTACACATGTACACACACATTATGGTATTGGAGGAGTCAACAAGTTGTTACAACTCTTCAGTAAATATTTGTTTCATGTTTATTTTAAAGATGTCAACTGATCCCAGAGGTACAGATTGCTCACCAGAAAGATGGATCCCTTGACAAGAGCCGAGAGCTCTATGAGGTATTATTTAAGACTGCATTCTAAACAAGTTTTAGTGCATAAACTTAGTGAGGCAAATAGTGCACTGCAGATAAAGTGGTAATTTGGACCCTGAATAATACTTATCTCTTTATGGAGTTTAGAGGGTAAAGCTGTGGACATGCTCTTTAAAAGTCTTTGTGCCATTTGCAAGTTGAATGTCTGAGTGGTTATGTCTTGAGCGCCAAAACCTATAGCCACAATGTTGGCTGCAGTTGGTTCGAGTGTTATCGTCGCTTATAGTTCTGGTCGTGGAACAAGTCTTCTCAAATTAGGAATATAAACTGTTGGTCCAGTGTACACAATTGGCTCATGTGCACCTTAAAGAAGCCAGTACATCCTTTGAGATGAGTAGGGGGTTACCCCAATATGTTGATCCTTCTCCCAGCCCCTGTCATTTGGGGCTGAAGCCTTCGAATATGAAGTTGGTCCTCAATTCAAGAAGAAGAATGTAATAAAAATGAGCCAATATAATATATTAGCTCAGTTGGCAAATCTTCTGTTAGATGCTGTGTTAAAATATTCCACCCTAAAATCACTTTGGCCCTCCAACTCATTTTTATACCCACGTCTGCTCTTGATTACCGATGTTTACCACTTTTGAAAATATTGACATTTTTAATTGCACCGTATAATTATTAATATAATTTATATATGCAGCTAGATGACTTTGAGAAAGTTTGTACAACCTTAGATGAGAAGATTGAAGATCATTTGAACTCTATGTTTATGCGTACTGAAAGGGATTATGGGAAGGAGCATCTCGGAGATAAACGAATTCCAAAGGAAACTGCAGTTGATACAAGTGACAGAAAGAAACGGGTAAGTCAGAGTTTGATAATGCTTAGAATTTTAGATAATCCTGCACTACACTACAGTAAATGTATGCAGATGATTTAAGTACCTTAATAATTAGGAAATTCCAGAGTTTGAATAAAAAAAATCATGGTGTGATGATGCATTAACACTTTCCACACTATCAGATTTGTGTGTTGTGCCCATATATGGGTATAATGATGTCATATTACACCCAAATATGAGCATATCATATTTCTTTTGTCAAAAAATGGTTAATAGTATTAACAAAGCTTTAGATTTTAATTTCCAATACCATTTATCTCACTAAGAAATCTCAGTAGTGTTAAATGTATACTTGATATGTTAACTCAAACACTTAAGTAACTAGGTATTTTTTATGAACTTTTTGCTATCAAAACTAGACTGTAAGCATACTTGTACTGTATAAGTTCTATTTATTTAACTGATTTTCATAATCAATGTCTGATTTTATTATATATCTTGTTTGTATTGCATCAAATCCAAGAATTTCCACTTGCTTGAATTATGTCAATAGGGTACATCTTATCTTATCTACAACCAGTGCATCACTAACAGCATTATTGTTGGTTTAGAACACCTGTGTAAGCAGCTCAAAAGTTGATTATAGTAACATAAACTATACGTAAATAACTTAATTTTTTACAGGTTCGTCATCATGATGCTTGCTACAAAGAACTCCAGAACCACTTGGATAATTCCACTCGACGTCTTCTACGGACCAAGGCTGGTCATGTCCGAGAACGTCCAGTTTCTGCACCATCAGTGGAACCGATCATAGGTGAATTTGGCAGTAGTGTCCAAAAACGACCATATACTGTAGATCAGGTAAAATAACCATCTGCATTAAATTTTATATTATTGTTATGATTTGTTGTTTATTATCTGTTGTTTGTGATGTCTTTATTGGCATTAATTTCTCGGAAAATAACCCATCTTTCGCAAATTCATAATATTTGAAGTTTTCACTACTTTATTATCAATTTTCTCGTGGAAGTCAGTACCGATGGATATCACTGTGAGCAGCAAAATATAATTTATGTGTGGAGAAACTTCTATTTAAGTGACTTCTTACAGCTTTGGATCCTTGAGTTATCTGACTTTTTGACTGTAGCGCCCTCTAACATGTTTGAATTGAATATCTCAGTGCATTGCAGTATCTTTAATACAGTATCTGTAATAAATTTATATGTGTGATAACAAAGCATTTTGCACTGTTTTTTTTCACAATTATTTTGTGAACACGGTTTGTTGTGCTGTGTTTTTCTCTATAGATTGTTCGAAATACATTCTCCAGATCGGGTGTCTGTCTTCGTCTGCGACCTTTCTCTGCTCCAGTAATGTCCCAGAAGATCCGCCGGGAACCAGTTGCACCACCAGTTAAAGAAAAGGTTTTAATTAACTGTTTGCACTTGTATTCTATTGCCGTGCCTATTGCCTTTAAAGGTCAAATAATACAATAACATGTTCCTCGCATCTCCAGCATTAATTTTTTGTAGGGTGTGGGGTAGAGTCAGGGACATCGCTAGAAAATCTTGCAGGAATTTTTTTGAAGCTTGAAAATCTTTATATACTAATCATTCATGCAAATTTCCCTGACCACCAACAAGGGAAATGGGGTGGGGACGAATATAACCCTTGCAACCCATGACCACTGTGAAAATCACAGTGCGAGTATACTCTATTAATGGAGGTTATGCACCGTACTGAAAGATGATGATGACCAGTTGGCTGAGCATTAGAATATTTTTCATGACTTCTAAAGTGTGATCACCATGTTCACAAGTGTGCTTTAACACAGCATCAGTCACTTTGATTATTGGGAAGAAAAGGGGATTTTTGTTCAATATTTCTTGATACATCATAAGGCAGTATTGGAAAATATTTAGGGTATATTATTGCACCTAAACTGATAAATGTAATTTCTGCTTTTTTGAAATAAATATAATTTCAATTATAAGTTAGGAAAATGATTTTGCCTCAAGGAAAATATGTGTTATACGTAATATACTAGTTCCATAATAATCACATTACAGGTATGTGCTGTCCATGTTTTTTAGTAACCGACAACTTAAATCTGTTGGCAGCAAGTGTATATGATTACCATGTTGTTGTTGATATCAAATAACAGTACCTTTACTGATACTATTCTTTAGACTATGTCCACTTTGACCAGTAGACGTCCTGACCCAAGAGCCACATTGTTCGAGACTTACCTTGAACGCTGTCAAAGTCGCAAAGGTAATTCTTAATTCTTTGACATTAAATTTGTATTTTACTTTCTTTTTACCCAAATGTATAATTCAAATTACATTTAATCACTTATCTGTCACTTAACAGATAAATTTTGCTTTTAGTTGTGAGAAACAGTCTTGGTTTTGAAAGGAATTGAACTGATGACTGTGGTATTAGAAGGCAAGCACCATACAATATACTGTAGGCTTTTATTTTGTAAATTCGTGAGAAAATTTTGAGGATTGATTGTAGTGATAATGCGGAAAACCTAGGTTTTGATTCCATGGTACAGGACATAACTTTCCAAAGTATGAATTGAGTTGAGCAGTTGGCTGAGAGGTTTCCTGCTTCTTGTGCTGAAGTCCCTGGTTCGAATCTTACCAGCATCAGGTTTTAATTGGAGTATGATCGCTTGGCTCCTCGAATAACCCTCATATTTGATAGTTAAGGGTTAAGGACAATGCTTGTATCCATATGTGTCCATTATTTGTTGCAATTCGGGTGGTGCTGCAGGTCCGCAAGGGCCCAGCCCAAATTTCTGATTTCCAATTAAAATGAGGACAAATAAAGAAATATTATTATTGATTCTTAAATGATTACATGAGCACTTGGTGTGGTTAGAACACAATGGTGAAACACAAAAATGGACTGGATATCCAATGTAACATTAAAGGATAAAAGATAATTTTTTAGTATTTTCTTGAATAAGTTATGAAAAACAGCAGAATTAGGTGAATTAAAATGGTCAATAAATCACAAGGGTTATAAATTAAAGTCAAATAAACAAAGGCCTCTAAATACACAGAGGAAGATTTACAATCAGCATTGGTATTGAGGAAAAGTCACAAGTACTTCTAACACTGAACATTAACATATAAAGTAATCACATTGTAAATCACCTTCAATGTTGCACCAGATTTTGCCTTAATTAAGATTAAATTATTTAAGTTCAAGACTTTAATTGAGGAAAAGGACTGTGCGATTCTGTACCTGTCTTCACAAAATTTATTGATATAAAATTTGCACCACTTGTTTACGAGTGGATTTGCAATGCAGATTTATCAGTAAACCAATTTGGAAATGTGTAGGCCTATCTTTAAGGAAATTGAAACATTCTATATTTGTCACAAGTAGGCTCCCAATCATTCATATACCTCATACATTTTTGTATTTCTATGTCAGAAGTAATTACATTGGCTTACTCACTCAGTGTTCTTTAATCACACTTCCATCTTCAACTTCAATATTTTCTCCTACATATCAATAGTTCAAATGCATTATAAAAATTTTGTCACTCATGAATATTTAGTTACTTTTCACAATTTGAATTTTTTTCAACTGTAATTCACAACTTAAACTTGTTCTTTAATTTCAATTAAAAACATAAACAATGTAAAAACCCACCCAATAATTTTTTTGTTGCTGTTTGTGTCATTTGACGTGTGTTTGTCAGACAAGGCTTGTTTAAACATGAGCCTAGACTTGTGGAATTTAGGGCAGTGGTTAATCTGTGTCATAAACATACCAATAATGTCAAATTAGACAAGGCTGAATAAGTGAGTGTGCAACATGCAACAATGTGCCTTTATAGTCTGTGGTTTACTAACTAGTTTTATTTATGAATAAGTAGACAATTTGTAAGTATATGTGATTCTGCATGTAGAATTCTATTTTTTCTGGCAAGTTGGTTTTTTTTTTTTTAACTTTTTACTATTAATTTATTATATGTGGGCTTTTGATACAAGCAGTTTAATTGTTCAGTTGTCTACAGTATACGGAAACTTGCTGTAAATTATGTTAATCCAAGATTATTTATACCAAATATTTCTGTCAAGTACTATTTGTTTTTACAAAAAATCAGGTTTGTAAGGAGGACACATTTCATAATATATTTTACTTCTGAAATGTCATTTTAGTTTTACTTATTTTACTTTTATGGGAAAAAAAGTAGAGTTGTGTATAGAAGAAATAGAGTAAGAGCTACAGTCTAAATCTCCGTCCTGATTATGAAATTTTCTTTGACAAAAGAGTGTTGTATGCACATATATTTTCATGTTGTGCCTATATTATATGGTAATGATGTGATGTCATCATGACCATATTTAGGCATATTTTTGTCAAACAAAACTATTTGATAATCTTGCCAGAACTTAACATACATAATTGGAACAGTGTTCCGAATACTATTATTCTATTTCATATACTGTACAACCATAATATTCTCTTTCTAACGTCATCAGGTGTTACTAATCATTCTAAGCCACATGCGGGCATCGACCAACAAAGGGACCACCATATGGTTGTTCATCTGAGGAAACGGACCCCAGATAATAGAAAGATTCAAGCACCGAATCTTGTTACCGAGGAAACTGTGGAGGAGAGACAGAATGTGTTGGACAACCTCCAGTACGAAATCGAGACATTGGTAAGATCTCTGAAGAAATGTTATTACCGTTTAGAATGATACTGCACTATCGCTTTGTGTTAGGATGCAATATAACTTAGGCTTGTGCAGGGTGAGCAACTTAGCTCAGTCAGCTTGAAGTTCGGTCCACTTTATCAAATATATTATTTTGATATGCACATATTTTGGTGTAATGTGACATCATCATACCCATATACAGGTATGGGCACATCACACACATTTGTTACATGAAATTTGATAGTGTAGACAAAGCTTAAGACATTTAGATGAAGATGCTGAAACCTTTTTTTTTTTTCTTTTTTCGGGCAGGAGGAACGTACAATTAAACAACTTTATACTGGATTGAATAAAATCTACCCAACTTACAAGGAGAGAAGACTACTGGAAAAGAGCAAGATAAAACCGAAGCAAGAAACAAAAAAGGTATGTTGACTGTTCAACTGTTGTTTATGTTGTTGTAGTGTAGTAGTATCCAGGTAGGGTGGTAATGGAATAGTGAGAGGGGTGCTGGGAGGTGGGGGATTGAAGTGATAGGTGATTTTTAACTACTTGAATTTAATTTTCGTGTTCAGCAATTGTTAGTAGTAGGAGAAACATACAATTGGGGTCATGGTAGAAGCATCTTTGTCGCGGCCCTGGGTAACGCCAATTTTATCACCACCACAAAAGGTATACAAGTGACTTGCATCACCATATTTTTATTATTCATTATTTTCACTTGACTCGCATAAATAATTTTGTTCGAAGAACATTTATATGCTTACTATAACTATATATAGTTTACATTATATTTTGCATTCTTTTCTCTATTAGGTAAAAAAGAAATCCAAGAAAATAGATCCGGAAACATTGCAACGCTTGTCAAGACCTGAGCCGCGTGCATTCCTTGCTGTCCATGACAGTACCTGTGATGCCAGGCTGGTTGTTGCCGGGCTTAAACAAAAGAACCGCCCAAGAAAGAACCACCGATTGACCCTTGAAGGCCAGACCAGTACAGGAAACCTTGACCGCCTGCCCAAGACATTAAGAACTGATGGAGGGAGCATAAGCAGTGCTGACGAAACCAGTACAAAAACATTTGATACCTCCCGTCACTCTTTGTTCACTCACAATCTCAGAAATTCGCATGTACATTTGCGAGATTATGATCGTGAAAAGTATAAATCAGTCCGTGTGGGAGCAGCAGCCGTCCTGTATGATTATTTCTACGGTGACAATGTTGGTACACGACCTCAAACTGCTGAGAATAATGGAAATAATATTAAAGATGATGAAGGTTTAAACAGCACAAAAAGAGAGAAAAGTGAAACAGAAACTATGAGTAGCAGAAATTATTGTAGGGTGCCTTCAGCAGGCAGGTTACACACACCATTGAATATTAATCAATTAGTAGGGGATAATTACCTATCTCAAGATCCATGTAATGGTCAGCATGAACAAGCACGCAATACAAGACGATTGATGGTAAAAGATGAGGATGAGTTGAAAATTAATGGTGTTCTCTTAAGTGAGATTGACAAATTGACAATTAAAAAAGATGTGGAAAAAATTACATTTGCTCATAAATGGTCACTTCCAGCATTGACACATGTCAATCAAAGTCAATCATCTTGATGTCTTTGTTCAGTATTTAGTTTAATCATTCCTCCATGGTTTAATGCACAAAAAGGACATTCCTTCACAAACTTTACTGTTTTCATAGGCACCTTATAGGCAACACAAGTATTAGAGGCCTCACTTTTTCACTCACTTGTTAACCTAAAGATTACATATGTCTTCGGTGAAATCCCAAAAGTATAAGTTATCTACAGTACTTTTATTTAGACACAGATTGAAATAATTTTTTTTTTTCTGAATTACAGAAGTTTTACGGTATTACAAAAATATTTAAATTGACTACCTGCCAAGTTGAGGATCATTAATAGGAGCGGTATTAAGCATTTTAAAATTTCTGATGAAAATAATTTATCAATTGAAACTTAATAACATACATTAAATTATATGTTTTAGCTCAGTATAAGCAATGTATTTTGTATATGTTTAATATAAATTCATGGACACTCCAAAATGACTCATTAATGCCATATTGATTTAATTTTTTATTCTTTAATTTGACATATTGAATCAGTATGGCATACCTGATCCTCGAAAATATTGAATCAATATCCATGATATATTCAGTTTTTATATACATGCTAACCATCCATTCTACAGTATGTGTGATACTATCATCCTTGTATCAATTTATAGATATATTTTGATAATGAATAATGTACACCTGAAAAACTAGTGTAAACATTCACACATTCCGTACATTCATAATTGAATTCAGAGAATTGAGTGTTTATTTCAATTTCTGTTTATAACTTTGTCTTTTTTCTTGGTATTTTTATTCTTTAATTTGACAATTGAATCAGTATGGCATACCTGATGCTTGAAAGTATTGAATCAATATCCATGGCCCTTTTTTGCACCCAAGTGTGCTTCATCCACTCAAAACAAATCAGGGGTTTCAGCAAGGACTGTATATTACTGCCATTTTCACTGTTTAACCACTCCATCCATCATGCGACGGTTTCATGCGATGGCTCTTAGGAAGCAAAGGCTGTGAGTTCGAATTGCAGCATGTATTCAATTTTTAATTGTGTAAAAATTATTTAATTTAATTATTTAAAAATTCTCTCTTATTATGAGGAGCTCTAAAAGTACTTGGCCGATTGATGCCGCGGTCGGTTAACAATGTTGTGAGTTCGAATAGTCTCGATATTTAATTAAAATTTTTTTTTTTCAATTTTAAGACATTTGATTTTTTTGTTTTTATTTTAAGACATTTTAATTTTGTACAAGTGAAAATTCTAATTATTTAAAAGTTCCTATCATGTTTTTTTTTGTCAAATAGCTGTCAGATATCTTAAGCTTTGTCTACACTAACAGATTTCATTAAAAAAAAAGCGTCAAATGTGATGGAACATAGTGTTGAACACGTTCAACTTTTTTTGACAATTTGATAATATATATATATGGGCGCATCACATTTTTTTGTGACATAAAATTTGATAGTGTACACAAAGCTTTAGAATGTTAATTTATACACAAAAAAAATTAAATAAAAATAAACACTGTAGTGAGTTCGCGATTCGAACTCACAACATTCAGTTCCTTACAACACAGCGTTAACCTACCGTGCCATTTATACGATGTGTCCTGTTAGTGGTAGTATTTAATGCAATTATGAATCTGTGCCGAAAAACCCAATATAATTACTTACGATACTCTATTTAAGCATGGAGGATATTTCCTCCATGCATGTTTTAATAATGTCTACAAAAAGCTTTGTCTGAAAGGTGCATACCCGAGGCCTTAAACGCTAATAGATTGATTGATAAATAGATCTTTTTTGTATGGGCGGCCGTTAGAGCAAATATGGTAGTATTATACTGCCCTCACATTGGAGCTTTCGAGATTACGAGAATTTGTTTATATACATATTACCATTCATTCTACGGTATGTCTGTATTTCAGTTATTTCAGTTTATAGATATATTTTGATAATGAATAATGTACACCTGCAAAAACTAATGTAATCATTTCACACATTCCCTACATTCATAATTGAATTCAGAGAATTAAGTGTTTATTTCAATTTCTGTTTATAACTTCGCTTACGTCTTTCTGTGTCTTCTATCTTGGTCACCTAAATAAACAGGCGTACTTCCTACAATTAATAGTGTACGTGTGTATGTGTATGCATGTATGGTATGTTTTTATTATGATGTTGAAAATTTTCTTCATATCTGATTTGAGTTGTCACAAGTCTTGATGAGAGAGCTTGTGGCATTGCCACACGCTATCTGTGTATAATGTGTATGATTATGCTTGTATCGGCTTCTAATTTGACAGGTGAATCGTGCCTTTGCAATGTCAAATCTGCAATATTGAATAAGGAATTGTGCGCAATTATTTGACATTGTCATTGTGTGCAAAATGAATGACATAACT